GAGAGAGAGAGAGAGAGAGAGAGAGAAAGTTTTACTGAGCGGGTTGTTTCAGCACGTGAGATATGATGTATTTTTACTAATGCCCTGTCTTGTTGTGCGTATGCGTGAGTGCACCTAACTTTGGTAACGTCTGCTGACTTTGTTAACGGCCAAGACAAATTTGTCCTTGCGAGGCGAATAAAGAATGACATTGTCACTAACATTCTTTCTATTTTTTCCGGCACTAATAGGCCAATATTGTGTTTATGTGCTTTCTTAACTCAAACAAACAAAACAAAAAGTCTCCATCTAGTACTCTCCAGGGCCCTCATAACCACCACCACTCCTCTTTGTTCTATTTCTCTAGAACCTCGCAGATTGGGTTAACTCTTTTGAGACGCGCATTCTGGTCATTCGGCAAGGCTTGAAGACGCGCTGTTTAGAAGTACAGTCGACATCGCTCATGTTGAACTGGCTTGAGTTAATCTTCTGTTAATTAATTAAGTTGCTCTTTTTATCGGGTCCCAGCACCCCTTTCTTTTTCACAGATCCAAACAGTTAAGTTGAATTTCGGATGAGTTGATGTTTTTTCACTCCGTTGACGACTTCAACTCATCCGTAATCGACAGCATAATTACGCACATGGTATATTATTTTGAATAGCACGAATATAAGAGACGTCACTTTTCAAAGCGTTGATGAAGTTTCTTTTTTACTTTTATTTTTACTTTTATCCGCCGCGTATGCCCTTTTGGGTGTCGCGGGAAGAAAGAGACGTCTCTCTGTCTATCTATCCATGTCTTTCTCGGTCGCCCTCTAGCCTTGTCGCCATTGATTTTTTTTTATGTAGGCACGTTTCGTTTCCCCAAATTTCCAGAAATCCCCCAACACCCTTCAGCCCTACTTATAGATGCGAGCAGCGTAGTCAGATTTTTAAATTCTGTTTTCTTTACTTGAAAATGAAAAATGCAAGCAATAACAACGTGCATGCCATTACTATGGAATATGAGGCAACTTCTTGTTTCTGATTTCGCTACCTCAGAATTACAAAGTTCTATCTGACATTTTTGGCCGTTTTGAATTACTAAAACCATGACATAAGAAACCAAATGCTCTATCTTCTCTATCAAAACTATAAGAATATTCGGAGTCGTTATCAAGATATTCAAAAAGTTGCATTTAAAAAAGCTTGGCATGTTCTGACATCTAAAAAATCCCATTTCTCAAAACTAGGTACCGAGCAGATAGAACTTTGTAATTCTGAGGTAGGGATTTGTGTATGAAGGTTCAACAAGAGTCACAACATTATTTTTTTGTCTGCTGCCGATCGGACATAATTGGTCGCTTTTAAGCACAAGTGGGCTATCCCGAAAAATTCTGTTTTGAGAAAATGAAAGGGTAAGTTTTTGGACCCTTGTTCAGTTTCTTTAAAAGACAGGGGAGTTTTCATTATAACAAAACAAATATACACACCAATGAAACCAAACTTTTCCTATAGGTAGGGCAATGTCCACTTTTAGTGTAGGTCAAAATTTCTAGAAACCCCCGATATCTGGGTTAGCCCGCTAGTCCTTAAAAGAGACCAATTCATTATGTGTTTGCTGCGTCCGGCATTTATGGCGTACTCACAGTGCTACCAAAATGTAATTCGGGTGCCCATTGAGGATGGGATTGGGTCAGGTCGGGTCGGGTCCATCGGCCGACTCGTTGCCTGGAAACCTTTTGTTTTTGAGGCGAAGAGTCGGGCGCGGTCGGCTCATGCCACGATAGCCGCTTTGCGCCCTGAATCTGGATATTAAACCGACCCGACCCGACCTGATCGCCCAATGGGCACCCCGTATTATTCTTTATAGACGTCTAGGTTGTAACCTGCAGTAACTGTTCATTAACTTTCCCTCGTGTTCTGGTCTATAAATAGCCCTTACAACATGGCACGCGTTCGGTTCTGCCAAAAACGAAAGGTGTGGGACATGGGAAGGAGGAACTCAGCGTGAGCAGCGCGCGTGCACGGCACGAAAAGTGGAATCTGGGTCACTGAATCACCCCTCGCTCGAATGAGGCTCATACAGCAAGGTAAAGAGAAGGAGAAAGAGGGAGAGAAAGAGAGAGAGGAACTTGAATCCTCCGTGAGCGGCGCAAAGTAAGACAACGGCGCAAAGTGTACGGCGTAGCCTACCGTGCCAGAGTTGAGCGCAAGGACTAACAGTAACCGGTAGCCATTTTACGCCCTGAGAAGGAAGAGATTCCCAACACCTGGACCTTTACTTCGACCAACAAAGAACAACACACGGCAAGTAAGAGCTGAACGTTTATATTCAGGTTACTTTGAAACGTGAGCGGTTTTATGTTTCATTCAGCAGAAGGGTTACTGCAGTCGACCCAATCTTGTCCTATAAAACTTAACGGTTAACGTGCGTCCTTAGCCTAGTACTGAACTATAAAGACACAACAATCGGCCTATGGTTTCGCTGATGGGCTGTGGACAGTGAAAATGAGTGAAGTATAATAAATAATACGACATAATATATACATTTTTTCTAATTTACTCGGGCTTCTCTTATTTCCATTGCCCAGAACTCACCAACAAAACCTCACCCTCCAGTCTCTAGCGCAATGCTCGCCTACCTTTTGGTAGCCCACGCCCACTTTTGCCACCTTTAAGAGGTTAAATTTTTCTTTCTACCCACCCCCATGTACCCGTATGTACTTCTAAGAGCGGCATTAAAGTTAATGATATCTGTCACTACCCGGGTAATCCCAACACCCACCCGAATTACTGTATTAAATAGTTAACGCAAGCCCATGTTGGCAAGAACTGGTCTTCTGAGTCACAGTTCAGTTAGTTGTCTTATTGTCAATTGGAACTTCCGGGTTTTTTCCATTGGTAAAGGTCTTACTTTTCGATTTTTTAATTATTTTTTTTGTTGCCCAGCCCAATTCTATCATCTGGCGCTTTTGTGTTTAGTAATACATGCGTAACAACAAACTGTGCTGCATTTTGGGTTTTGAAATCAACTGTTAGTCTTAGAGTAAACACACAGGAAAATGTTCTATTATAAATTCCTATACAGTAATAAATAAGTAAATACATATTATGTGTCTTCACTCTCATAACGTTTTTTGGGTAAGTTACACATGTAAGTGTTGCCATAGCCCAAACCCGGAGATGGCTACCACAACTGGTTAGTAGTTAATTGTTTACATCATGTTAGTCCTACATTCATCAGCTATTTCGAGTCACGAGGTGGGCACCCTCTGTCGCGCTCTCTAGTGGAGTCATCTTTATAGTGTCACCGAAGGTTCCGAAAGTTTGCACGAAGTCTCATACTATGGTGTTGCCTTTGTCAGTATTAGTACCTAAACTACTGGGCCAAGACGAGTTGGAGTAGGGAACAGATAGAGATACAAATTTTGCTTTTCGATTGTTGGTGAAAGTGTTGTAAGACGACACAAACCGTTGACCTGTTTTTGTCTCTGAAAGGGTCAGACTGTGAAAGGAATGAGAAAGGGGGGGGGGGGATGTATTCGGGTGATGGTTCAAAATGTTTCGCATTATAATGATAGTATGGTTTGTTTCGCTTCTGTTTCTTGTATGGTTGAGAACTTGGAGTAACTATATATTAATTACTATTAATAGTTACTCCAAGGTTGAGAAGCTTCTTCGACTCTGCTATTCAACATTCCCGATTTTTATTCGCTGTTCATAGCTATTCGAAGCGTGGCAGAGCCATTCGAATGCTAGAAAATGTAGCAATGCCAAACTGAAATTTGTAAACTGCCATGGGAGCAAATAAACAGCACATGGTTATAGAGATTGTAATGATAAGAACAGCACAATTTGAATGATCAAAATCCACCAATAAATAAAAAGTTATGTAAGTTTGATTGTCGGGATTCAGTTAGTAGTGTTATAATAATAGAGAAAAATATTTTAGAGAAACGGACCTCAAAATCGGAAATATTGCATTCATGTCTTTTTTTTTTGTAACTTCTTTATTTCTCAATCAATCAATTTGAAACTTGGCTTACATATGGCATTTTTGGTGTATATTCCAATGAGACTATTGCCAGTGTAATAGGAGGTCAATGAACAATGTTATTTTACATAATTTGCATGTCAACAACTGATAAAGCGGACAATCCGAGAGTTTCAAAGGTTAAAGGCCTAATATTATGTTATGAAAAACTCTTGACATACAGCAGAATCGCCAGGAATTCCACTACTTCTGACCTTATTGTGCTGCAGGTGCCGTTAGTGATCTAAAACTAAAGTAGATCTCACTTGTGATATTTTTTTTTACTGACCTTTGACTTGCAGAAGGTTAAGTGAAAGACAATCTGACCATCGTTGGGGCTGAAAGAAGAAACAAAACGATTACTTCTCGTGGAATTTCAGAACATAAGAGTCTAACTTTGTCACCCTTTGAGTTTGTCATTAGAGAAAAAAACCCTCAAAAGTGAAACAAGAAAAGAAAAGAACATTCTTGTGTAGGCTACCCAGCACTGTGCCTTCTTTGCCAATATTGAAGAAGGAATGAAAAATCAAAGACAGTATACTCGTCGTCTTCTGCACACACACACAAATGACACAAAAACGTCTTGTTGTAAGCACTGCAGCTGAAAATCACTCCAAGTGCATATTATAATACGTTGTTCAAATCAAACGTTTGTATGACACGTTGCACTGTGAAAATTATTGTGAAATAATCCAACCTTCAGTTCTGTTAATTTTGGTAACAGTTCAAATGATCATAAATCCATCAATAACATGAAACCAAAAATCACTGCTTCCCTCCTAATTTTGAAACATTGTCGCAGTCAAATTCACCCATAGACGTAAACCTCATAAATTAAATGTAAAAAGACGTT